ATCATAGCTTGTTAGAATCGTCTCACTGAGATGAATCGAATGGTGGTAGTTTTATCCTTTTGCGATCACTGGCTGATGAGTTATTCAACAAAATGTTAAGCATCGGCATTATTATATTTCTTAATTTACGTTTACTGCGCCATTTAACATTTTGCTAAATTTCTCGGTACCTAGTGATTGTAAAAAGACGATTAATAGCTCGTTGGAATCGCCTCATCAAGACGAATCGAATGGTGGTAAGCTCATCTCTCTGTGATCAATATTGACGGAGTTACTGCTTAAAAACAATTTAATATTTTTTAATTTTGGAAATTGATCTAGTGATTTGATTTCGATGTATTTTATACCATTAGATTCATCGTATCAAGACGAATCGAATGGCGGTAAGATCGTCTTTCTAGGATCAATATTGGCAGAGTTATTACACAAAAACCATTAATATTTTTTTAATTTCGGAAATTAATCTAGTGATTAGATTTCGATGTATTTTATACCATTAGAACCGTCTCATCAAGACGAATCGAATGGCAGTAAGATCATCTCTCTACGATTAATATTGGCAGAGTTACTATACAATAAAGTTTTGAGTATAATTTTGGCTAAAATTATGTTAATTTTTGGCCGGAATTATGATATACTAATATAAGAAATTTTTTATATAGTCACATCTCTTTATAATCACCAAATATGGACTGTCCCAAATGTGTGACTATAAAGAGAGTTGACTGTATAATAAAATCAATAAGTATTCGGAGAGGTGCTTATTTTCAGTTTATACTTGATATCGTGCAAAGTAATGGGGTGCTTAATTTCGGGGGGTGCTTAATATTGGAAAAATATGGTATTACTATTTTTTTATTATATTTTAACAGTATTCTATTTTATTTTAAAAAAGAAAAAAGGATGGTATAAGAAAAAAAATTAAAAATCAAGTACTTTTAATTATTATTTATCAAATATATGAATTTCAGACCGTTATATTTTGTTGTGCAATATTTGACCTTAATGTAAATCTTATCTATTTTTAGTGAAGTATGAATCTTTTTGCATCAGCCTATAATTAAAAATATAGTATATAATTGATAATTACTACTTTGTATTGTAATAGTAAAAGTTGCAATTTATTACTATTTTTAAGCTCAAAGTGTTGTAATATTACAACACTTATGATTTTTAAAAATTTTCTTTTTTGAAAAATAAAAATTACAAAAATAAGTTTTGTAAAACAGATACAAAAAGAAATGATTGATATACTATATTTGTATAATTGGCAATAGAACTTGGACTTAAGTTAGGATGAGTCAACTCGAGTAAAGCGAGTCAAAAATTTTTTTAACTCAAAGAGTATTTAAGTCCAGGATTCAAGCTAAGACTTGAGTTAACTCAAGTTAATTTGAGTCAAAATTAAAGTGCGGGCCAAAAAACTTATCCATAATTTTATTCAGACTGTTATAATCATAATGCTGGCAGGAATTACAAATAGGATTCAGCTGGCACTATCAACCACATGATCCCAGTTGACTCAAGTCAAGAAATTTCTAACTCAAGTGCGAGTTCAATTCAAGTCAACTTGAGTTACATGAGTGCGAATCCAAGCTTTAATTGGCAATAATTACAATACTATAAATATACAATACTAGTAATAACAGGTAATATAATATTATAATAGTTGCAACCTTACAACCTTCTAAAAATAATTACATATCACATCTTTAATAGTAATAAATTTTATAGTAATTTTTAAAGGTAAAAGATTTTAAATTTGATATTATTATTTTAAAAGGTCATAAAAAACAGTAATTTCTATAAGTATAATTGCATGATAGTATTACTGTATAAACTTCATTTTAATAATAATATAAGTACTTAATTTAATTATTAAATATTAGGTATAGTGAAATTTATAAGATCACTGTGTAATGTAAGTATGTAACACAAATCAGTCACGTGGGATGAAAATTTTGGTAAAACGCAACGCACACGATTTTAACTAATTCTTGTTACTTGGATAGTTGGATTTCTTTTAAATAAAAAAGCTTTACAATGGAAGTTGACGGCAATGATGAAAACCAAGGGTTTTATATGATTGTAAGTGGGAAATCTTTAACATTAAATGTTCAAGATCTAAAATTTCTCATTTTTTAATTAAAATCTAGATTTGAAATTTATTGTGTATAGGAAGAACTTGATATTCCTTTTGAAGAAGAAATTTTACGCAATCCTTATACATTAAAATCATGGCTTCGATACATCGACCATAAATCTGAACAACAATTGTCACAACAAATTTTTGTTTATGAGCGTGCTCTCAAAGAGTTACCTGGTTCTTACAAATTATGGAAACAATACTTAGATCTTCGAAGAGAACACGTTCAAGAGTTAAATCCTGTTAGATTTGAAAAAGAATATTTGAAAGTTAACAATTGTTTTGAAAGAGCATTGGTCTTGTTACATAAAGTAAATATAAGTATATGATAGTTTTAATTTTCCGCGTTTATGCTGACTTTTTTTGTAATTTATTAGATGCCTCGAATTTGGTTAGATTATTGTAGCTTTATGATGAATCAATGTAGAGTTACAAAAACACGTAGAATCTTTGATCGAGCATTAAAAGCATTACCAATTACACAACATCCAAGAATTTGGGAGCTATATTTAAAATTTGCCAGGTCGGTGGGAGGTGAAACAGCAATTCGATTATATCGAAGGTATCTTAAGGTGAGATTGACATTCTCTTTTATACTTAAGTTTGTTCATGATTACGTTATGTGAGTCAATTATTGGAGGTTTGTGGGTCCAATATTACGACACGGTTTGCCAATCATTAAGGAACTATTATGGCAAGGGATTACAAAACTGACTATCGTTTTGTGACGATGGACCCACTGCAACAATAGATGATATACTATCATTCCGGCAAGACATTTGCTCACTATATAGCATGAATCTCATCATAGTTGGAACCAGACCGTGTTGAAGAATATATCGAGTTGTTATTATCACTCAATCGATACGATGAGGCTGCTAAACGACTTGCTCAGACTGTCAATAACGATCGGTTCCAATCAATGTTCGGCAAATCCAACTATCAACTGTGGATGGAACTTTGCGATTTGATCTGTGAACATCCACATGAAATTAAAAGTTTAAAAGTTGAACCTATTATAAGAAGTGGAATCCGTAGATTTACCGATCAAGTCGGAAGATTATGGAATTCCTTAGCAAATTATTGGATCAAATTGGGACATTTTGAAAAGGTTTCTTTTTTTTTTTTATCATAAAAATTTATATCTATTTAATTGTTATTATTTTATTTGCTTTTTTTATTTAAATTTGTTTAATATATAGGCAAGAGATGTATTTGAAGAGGGTATTAGCACTGTAATGACTGTCAGAGATTTTACACAGATATTTGATACTTATGCGAAGGCTGAAGAGACCGTCATTGAAAGAAAAATGGAAGAAGCAGCGGAGAGGGCGGAAGAAGGAATAGATGATCCAAAAGCAGATTCAGAATTAGATCTAAGGTTGATGCGATTTGAACAATTAATGGATCGTAGACCTTTTTTGGTGAATGACGTTTTGTTGAGACAGAACCCAAATAATGTCCATGAATGGGAAAAAAGGGTGGCATTATGGAAGGACAACCACACTAAGGTTATTTTTATTTAGATTATTACCAACAATTTCAATACCTTGTTGGCATTTAATTTATTATATTTAGCGTTTAGGTTGTTGAAACATATACGAAAGCAATGAGAACTATTGACCCGAAAAAAGCAACTGGCAAATTTCATGTGTTATGGACGAACTTTGCCAAATTCTATGAACAGGGTGGTGACATTGAGAATGCCCGAACAATCTTTGAAAAAGCTACACATGTTGACTTTAAAAACGTTAATGACTTGGCTGCGTTATGGTGTGAATATGCAGAGATGGAGCTACGACTTGAGTACGTGAATATATATTTTATGCGGAATAAGAATAAATAATTACGTTATTCACTTATTATAACTTCCTTAAAGGAATTACAACAGAGCCTTAGATGTTATGGGTCGTGCTACAGTTCCTCCTCGCAATCCAAATGTGGATTTCCGTGATGAGGTTAGTGATATAATGTTATAGTACGAAATAGAATATTGTATGTATTAATTCGAATTTATTTATGTTTTGATAGAGTTTACCGGTTCAACTACGCGTTTTTAAATCAATAAAGTTGTGGTCATTTTACGTTGATCTTGAAGAAAGTATTGGCACGATAGAATCTACTAGAGCAGTATATGATCGAATATTAGAATTGAAGATCGCTAATCCTCAAATAATCATTAATTATGCGAATTTTCTAGAAGAGAATAAATATTATGAAGAAAGTTTTAAGGTAATTTTACGATTAAAGCATATTTCAAAATACGGTATTTGTAACCCATTAAATATTTTATAATAGGTATATGAACGAGGCGTAGAACTTTTCAATTATCCAATTTCATTCGAGATTTGGAATGTATATTTGACAAAGTTTATTAATAGATATGTACGAATTATTATTATTATTATTATTATTTAATAAGTATATGTTTTATTTTGATTATTAAAAATTTTCTCAATTCAAGGGAGGTCTCAAGTTAGAACGTGCTAGAGATCTGTTTGAACAAGCTCTTGAAAAGTGTCCTCCTAAATATGCTAAGCCCTTATATCTTATGTATGGTAAATTAGAAGAGGACTATGGTTTAGCACGACACGCGATGCGTATTTATGATCGCGCAACCAGATCAGTATCTGATGAAGATCGATTCGAGGTAATTTCAATTTCAACTGGCAAAAGATCCGATACCATTACGTCATGTATTAATCTAATAACCTGTTCATTTAAGATGTTTAATTTTTATATCGCCAAAGCGAGTGCTAACTTTGGTGTAACTTATACCCGTGAAATTTATGAACGGGCAATCGAAGTTTTACCTGATAAAGAAGCTAAAGATATGTCTTTGAAATATGCTGAATTGGAACGTAAACTAGGGGAAATTGATAGAGCAAGAGCGTTATATGCTCACGCATCTCAATTTTGTGATCCAAGGGTTTGTAATCATTATTTGTTTAATTTGAAGAGGTTCCAATACTAATTTAGCAATTTATTCATAGACGGTACCATCTTTCTGGCAAACGTGGCATGACTTTGAAGTCAAGCACGGTAACGAAGATACATTTAAAGAAATGCTTCGAATCAAGCGAAGTGTACAAGCTCAATATAATACAGAGGTACGATACATAAATTCATTTATAATGATCGAAAATCAAATATAATAATATTTTTCTCTTAACTATTTCAGGTTAATTTTATATCCGCCCAAATACTTGCTACTAGACAAGCTCAACAGAGTGGTCAAGAGAGTGGTCAAGTGCAAGGAGTACCTTCAAATGGATCATCAGTTTCTGAAATTTCAGTACCGGGGACTTCTAATGCAATGCAAATTGCAGAACAAGAAGCCATGCAAACTAAAGCAAACTTAACTTCTGTTTCTAAATCAATGACATTTGTCCCGTGCGTATACGATTCGTTTGAGTCCTTGTAAATATTAATTAAATTATTAACCATGCATATTGCAATTTCTTTAGTTCTTCTACGCAAGTAAATAAGGAAAATGTATCCTCTAATCCATCGAATCCCGACGAAATAACTATGGACATGGATGATGATCTGTAAAAATTATTAATTTTTAATCACATCTTATTATTACATGAATAAATGAAGTGATTTATTATCTTGTAATGCTCTGCAAAATCAGCTATTTAACTTTAAAAAAGTATAAATTGCGTCATGTCATCATAAAAATGAACGAAATAATATTAATTTTTGGTGATCTTTTATCTATCTTTTTAGACAATTTTGAAAAGAAAAAAAATTGGTATATAAAGTATATATTCCAACATGAAAATAAAATTTTTTAGAAATATATATTCACATATTTTCGTTTATTATACTTGATTTTTTTTTGTTTGGAGGGAATTTTTTTTTTTTTGAAAAAAATGAATAATACTAATTGCTATTGCTAAGTGAATTATTTGATATATATGTATATATATTTTTTTTAAAAAAAAAATGGAAAAAAAAAATAAAATATATTGGCAAGAAGTAATACTAAAAAGAAAAAAATACAGAAGAGGTAATGAAAGAAAAATAAAGTACAGAGTGAAGTATAAATTGTATAAAGTTCGAAATATTTTGTTTATATGTTAGGATATAAAAAAATTGCAAAGGGGAAGTATAATAATTTTTTTTGTGTATAAATACAACGGGAAAANATTTCTATGTTCCGAATGCACATCATTTCAAGATGTGAATATTTTAACATGTAAAGGAAAAAAGTATTTCTACAGGTAAGTTAAACTATAAAGGGAAAATGAAAAAAAAAAAGAAAAAAAAGAAAAATTACAGAAGAGAATTTTTTTTTGTAATTTATAAATTGTGCTAAAGTTTTAAAGATTAATATCTTTGTGAGGACAAATAATACATGTAAGCTACTATCATTACAAAACAGCTATTTTTTCACAAAGGAATCACAAATACATTTGTATAAAAGTGTAAACATGAGAGGCGTTTGTTGTATATATATGATACAAGTTATATCCGCCACGCAAGTCTAATGAAAAAAAAAATACAAGTCATAATAAATGGGAATGAATATAAAGTGTGAAAGAACCACACGTCAATGACTCTCCCTCCAAAATATAATAATATAATAAAGTAAATATATATAATATAAATATATATAAAATTGGGAAAAAAATCTCTTTTTCGTCATTAAATGTAACGGAAACCTGGTGTTGTATAATCGTTCATACCAATTATACTACCATTCATGTTGCTGCTAAAATTTCCGGTAAAATTGCCAAGATTACTCAAACCATGAAACGGTAATCCTAACATATTAAGCGAACTCAACGCCTGCATTTGTTGTTGTTGTTCGCGGTGAAGTTTCCCTTGGATGCGTTTGCCATACGGTGTATTACGAATAAAAGGTAAAAGAGGTCGAATACATTCAGTTAACTACAATAATTATAATAATTACGTATTAACAAATTTATAAACATAGTAACAAAAGAAAACAAATTATCACGATCACCTACTTGAGCGCGTTGTATCGGATCAGCGTAATCTAAGGATGTCTGAACTACATAATTAGCATAAGAATCACGTAACAATTTGTCCAGTTGATTCCGGTTGAGCATCTCGTCAATCAAAAATTTTCGTGTCTCTGGTTCCGCAACCCTTATACACTAATTGGACGAACAAATATTTATATCATAAATTATATAACTGTTATATAACTCCATCAATTTTTAAAAAAAATGGTTTTAATTTACCTTTTCCATTACGTTTGAACTAAACTTTTGCACAGATAACGAACATACGTTACCAATGAATTTTCGAATAAGAGAATCTGCGAATCGATTATCGCCGAGATCTAAAACGTATTGAACAACGTAATTGCCGAATGGATCCTAAAAAAAAAACAGATACAACATTTTAAACCAAAACCTTTAAAATTAAATAACGCAAGACATTAATTATTATTACCTGCACTAAGGTAAGAGCATTATATGTAATCTCTGTAACAAGTTGAATTTTTTGAGTTTCCGAGGCATGATCAATACAACGTTGTAGTACACAGCATCCATGACGGTGTGTCGCTACCTCAATACAATTCTTGCTTATGATGTTGTAAATGAACTATATAAAAATGTGTGTATATACGTCAAAATAAGAATATTTAAGTTATAATTATTCGACAAACAATTTATACTTACTTGATTGTCCTCAGAACTCAAGCGATTCAAACATTTTTGAATAACGTGATTTCCGTTCAAGTCTTTAATTAAGGTCACAACGTTGGGGTTAAGAGCTGCTATCACCATACGAATCTGTTTTTTAATTACGTAACCATTTGAATGGAACTGTCGTTATGTAAATCTTATGATATAAAAATGTTAAACAATTTTTTTAAGAAATGACCAAAGAAATCAAAATACCTGTTGGGGTGTTGATAGGAACTCTATCATTTTCTGAACAGCACGAGTACCGTGCATGTTTAATGAAATGTTTACTAACTCCGGTGCTACGGTCTCTATAATTATAGTTCGTTGATCATCATTACAATATTCGAGAAGTTTTTGGCAAAGATAATTACCAAAGGGATCTAATATTTATGGAAATAAAATCAGTGAGGACATATTCAAACGTTTAAAGTTTTAAAATATAAATATATAAAAATTTACCTGTCATGAGTTCAACAAAGTGACTAAAGACTTCATTGAATATCATTCCGATATATTGTTCATTTTTCTCTTCAAGTTTCTTTTGAAGGTATCTACATCCATGCTGATCTTTACAAAAAGAGTATATCTCACCTACTAAGTCTTCTAACATGATACCAGCAAATCTGTTCACTATTAATTAATTATGTAAAACATTTTTTTAAATACTTTTCTTAAAAACATATATTCAAATTGCTCAATTACATGGATACAAACGTGAAATTATAATTTTTTATTATCATTAATGTTAAATTTACCTTCAAGATCACCGCTCATCCTTTTCTGATTCATTTTAGAAAGAGATAAAATGCTATTCGGATGTACCAATCTCATACTATTGAGGGTTGCTAAATTTTGATTGTAATTATATCCGGTTGTTGAAGGCAATAAATTCCCGTATTGACTATAATAAGCGACACCTCCTTGATATCCCACCATTTGAGCTGTTACATTCATATTAGCTTGTCCTGATCCGTTAAACGTATGTGTGTGCGAGTAAGAACATCGCTCTCCGCGTTGACAATATCCTTGTTGATAGAAACGACAAACTGTGTTACCAGTAATATCTCCAGCAGTAGTTACATTTGGTGATTGATGACTAATTTGATTGTCCGTTTCTAAAAGTACATCATTAGCAGCACTTGCATTAAAATTTGTCGAACGACAACCAAGTAATCTAGTTGCACTAGCTAAATTTGGAGTTGAATATGATGATGACAGTTTTGGTACTCGTTGTGATTTTGAAATTAATATGTTATTGTTATTATCTATGTTCAAATTGTCCAATTTCTTTCTATCACTTGCATATGACATTCCACTTGAAATATTTACATTATTAGCAGACATGTTTGTGTTAACTGTAGAAGTTGAGATTGTTTTTTTGTTTGAAACTTGAGTCTCTGACAGTAAAGGACCTAATTGATCCCTATTGGAACGTAATTGACAATTATCACCTTCACCTGGCTTTTGACAGAACGCGAATGAATCCACACAACGATGACGTGGTGTGGACTGGGGTAATGGTGCAAGATCAAGGGCTGCGGAGCATGCAGACAACTGAAAATAATAAAAATATATATTATTAAAAAAAAAAAAAAAACTCTTCATATTCGTGATTTTAACGTCTTACCTATTGGCCATTGAATTCCTTTACTAGCCAATACCATCCTATGTTCTTCTTGTATTTTATGTTTNAAAAAAAAAAAAAAAGCTCGAAAAAAAAAAAAACGATGAATAAGAGAATAAATACCATTCCTGGGTAACTGTCCCGACGAATCAATACTGGAAACAAGTCATCATCTGTATTCATTTGTAAATATCGACAAACGTATGAAGACGACGACGTAGAAGGATTCGTACCTTCTTCATCAAGTAAAAAGTTCCCGTTAAATTGAGGGAATACCGAGTTATCATTATTAGATGCGTTGGTCAATGTCGCGTTCCTATGTTGTGATGGTGGACCTTGTAGTTCAACAGACGTGTGTATGAAATCTTTCCTATTAATTGACAAAAAAAAGAAAAAGAAATGAAAAAAGATCATGAGCAATGATGATAAATTACATAAAATCTGATCATCTCCCAAATAAAATTAAAAGAAACATACTTAACATTCTCAGAAACCTTATCTTTCTTGTTCAATCTCTCTCCTCCAGGATACGAAGGAGCCTCTGGTGATTCATTCGAATTACGACGAGAATTCGGAACAGATCGGGATGAAGTATTTGATCTCTGCTGAACATCGGTATGAGGCAATGATTCAGAGTGAAGGGAGTCAAATTGATTTGTATTTGTGGTTAGATTTCCTGATACAGTATTTAATCTCGGCATCGTGTTGGATCGAGCACGAGTATCATTCGTTATTAAAGAAGGAGGCGTATTAGGTGCGCTCGCGCTTACAGCTGATATACTAACACTATGCGATTGACTTTCTAGCAAATCTTGTTCTTCTTTAAGCTGTTGGAGCTCGAGCATTTTCATTTTTGTTTCAAACAACTGGCGTTGTTCGTAGCGTTGACGTTCGTGTTCTATTCGTTTCTGCTCTAACCGTTTCTGTTCCAGATTAGTGAGGGAATTTTTTAAAAAAAATGTTAGAATAAAATGTAGATTAATTATAAAAGTTATGAATAAAAATTTACAGTCAACTTCCAAATAAAGCTGACATTATGATTTGTTAATTGTGACATTGACTATATATTAGGTTAATGACAATACATTTATTTGTGATAGTCATACTTTAAAAATGATCACAGAAGTACAATTGAGCGTTTGTTTACATTAGTTTAATTTTAAAAATGTTACATACCCCTGTACTTGAATTTTCCGATTCTGATATATTATTATTCGAAATATTTAAAGAGGCAGCCGCAGCAACTAATAAATCCAATGAGCCTCGATCATTATTGTCAAGTGAACTACGCTCTATATGCATTTCCGCACTAAGTCTATCACGATTAGATGATAAAGTTGGATGATGAAGTTGAGATTGAAGATTGTTCATATTGTGATTTCCATTTAAACTCCGTTGACGTTGAATGTGACGAAAATCTTGATTTTCTCGCGTTTCTGACGTAGTTGAGTTATTATTGAGTGAAGTAGTTAAATAAGATGATGAACTTGTATTCGTTCTTTTATCTGTTGTTGATTGTATTGATTTAGTATGATGATATTCTTTGGGGAATAAAAGACTATGATGATGATGTGGGAAAAGATCACTTGTACGTGAAAGAGCAGCAACGCTCGTTGGTTCTGGTGACATTTTTGGAGATGATTATTGGAGTTTTATTGTTTGACAAATAAAATAAGTTTCTGGACCTCTCCCCTTTCGTCTAAAAAACTATTTTTGAAAAAAAAAAATAAAAAAAAAAAAAANCCAATAATAATGTATTGAACAAAGGGGCTATTGAAGTTAATTACAATAAAGCTGTTCCAGTAACAGTATCGATTAGCGATCCAAATGCAGTATTTTCAGCAGCCCTCGTTCATTATGGATTTGTTACTCATTCAGTTCATATGTCACAAAGATATGTTGTTTGCAGTGTCCAAAATGTAACTAATTTATCCAACGGATTTTACAGTATGAATGTTATAATGCCACCAAATGGTAATATGATTGTTCCTGGACGTAATTATCTTTATATTAATAATAAGAATGTTCCAGGAACAACGGCTGTTGAAGTTATGCTTTCTTAAATATTTCAGTACAAAATAATTTAATTTTCGTGATAATCATTTTTGAATAATTTGTATTTTATAAAATAATTAGAATAACATAAATTTTTATTGCTTGTCGTAATAAAAAAGAGAGAAAAAATAATAGCGGGAATTGATTTTAAATAAACTTAAAAAATATAAGAGCTGTGCTCAATAAAAAAAAATTTTATAAATCAAATCAAATTTCACCCCTTTCCTGATTTTTTTGTGGCGCTAAAAGATGAATTTTTATGTGATAAAAAATAAAATTTTTATTTTGTGGCGATAAATAAATTTTGCAGTTGCGGCACATCTACAATTTGTGGCGATCGGATTTTGTTTTTACGGCTCGAACACGTGACTTAACATAAGTTATGAACTTAAGTCATACCGTAGAATAAGTGTATCTTGGCCTGCTCTACAAGTTTACTTAGTGAAAAAAATTGATTTTAAATGACTTTACATATGAATGAACAATCTTTGCTGATTAATGATTATATCTAAAAATGGATCAAAAACCCCATGTTGTGCACTAAGCAATGTAAGCAATGTTGGCGAAAAGTTTTGTTTGTAAAAAGTAAATTTTAAAGTCACGTGATCGAATCGGCTTTGGAGTTTGGACGACTAAAAAATGTACGGATGTGCCGTGTAACATTTAATTTCGTACAACAGCGTACAACAGAATGTTCTGAAAAAGCAATATAAAAAGGGAATGACAATGCTTTTTTTTAAATACTTTTATTTGGTTTTTTTCGTCACAAAAAAAAAAAAAAAAAAAAGGAAGAAATTAGAAAAAATCGTATTCAAAAAAAAAAAATAAAAAAAAATAGCAACATAAATCGATGTAAAACTTGCCAGAACGGGATGAAGAGAAAAGAATAGATAATTTTTTTTTTTTTTAGAGAAAAGTTTCTAATATAAATTTTTTTTCCTGATAAAAAACTATTAGTTGGATTGCTTTAAATAAATAACAAATCAATAATATAATGGTATAATATTATTTATGTATCTTTTCTTTACCGCATTTAACCAGTATGCAGCTTGATGCTTTACTTGTATGTAAAGTATATTTTGATTGGGGGGAAATTTTTTTGGTTAAATTTTTTTGCAGAGAAAATTTTTTCCGAGTTTTTATAATATGACTTCATATATAATAACAAATTTTAATCTAAAAAATTTTTTTTTTTTAGTATATATAATAAATAATAAAATAAATAATAAATTAAATAAAATAATAATTATATTTAAATCGTTTAAATCGTCTAGCGACTTATATTATTATGCTAATATGAATGATCTATAAATATGATAAATTAGACTTGAAACTTCAAATGTCAAATGTAAATTGTAAATATAGCAAAAAAAATAAATAAATAAATAAATAAAATAAAAAAATGCTAGCGAAAATATTAAAGTTGAAATTTGTGAAAGAGTAAAAAAAGTAAGAACGAAATTGAAAGGACAAGAATAATTTTATTTGCTATTCAAATGGATGATATTTTAGTTTTTTTATATTTATCAAAGTGAGGATTTACAATATTTTTTAAAGTATGATCCTAAATCAAGGAAAGAAAAAGGAATTTTATGGTCAAAGAGTAATTATTCGACTAGACTAAAAATTGATGATGTTCAAATATTTATGATCTTCCTTAGTATATCTGTACATCTTTTATTTATTTTATTATTTATGCAAAGTATTAAATAGATGAAAATCGACGCAGTGCAAGTAACCGATAATCTTTTCTTAAAAGGTAGATCGACCATGAAAGTGTTGTCTCAAAATGATCGAAGTGAACGATTTACATTATTTCGGAGAATCCGTTGAAAATTTTTTTTTTTATATGCATAAATTCTCGAGGGTTTATGATTGATTAGGTACGACAAAATATCTGATTAAAAATTTGATTAATCAATTTGAAATTCAACCTCAAAATGTATAAGAGAACTTTTAAATCCCCCCTGTGTAATTAATTTATTCGCTAAACATTCACATTCCAAGATTCTGTTTGTGAAGCTGGAAAAAAAAAAAGAGGGGAGGGAAGAAAATTTATTAAAAAAAAGTTACGCCGAAAGTCATCATTACAAACAATGAGATGAAAAAATCTAACGAATATACAAGGGTTAATACAGTAATTACAGTATACGTAGTTATATATTTCTAGTTTTCTTACCAGGGGGGTTTTGTTTGTAAGAAAACGCCAGAACGTACTTTAACGAGTTAAATTGATTTTAAAATCCCGTTTCTCTTTTCTATTTTAGGGAAAAGATAAAAAGATTCAAAAACGCGAAAAGCTCGAATTATTATTTATACAGGTTTATAATAAAATTATTAAAACGGGAGATTTTATGGGTAAGGAGGCGGAAACGGCGGTACTAAGTCATGATCTTCGTTTTACATCATAACGGTTGAAAAAAGCATGATTGTATTTTAAATACTTTTCTAATTTATACAAATCAAGATGAATTGGGCTTTTTTTTTATTCTCGTGGCTTTTTGTTGATATTCAACTTGATAGAAAGCTTGAGTTCAAATATAAATATAAATATTAATAAATATATATGCCTATATTTGTCATTATAGAAAACTTTTTCTCGCCACAATTGAATGAATGAATGAAAGAAGGATGTTCTGTGCTCCAAACAGAGTTTAATTAAAAGTTCGAATAAAGTTCGAAAACGGTGGAAAATATGTGAAATGAAACGTTTGTTTCTTTTCCAAATGACAATCTAAACGATTGTTTGAGAAAGGAAGACTTTCCAAGTTTGTAAATTGATCATATGATTCAAACAACTTTTTCATCCCAAACAAAAAGCGAAACACTGCGAGGTTGCAACGCAAAACAAAACCCCTTTGAAACCTTCCACTTCTAGACGCAACTTCCCCCCAACTAATATAATACTTACATTCGAATATGATCATCCTCTTTATCTTTTACATAACGGGAAATGTACGGAAACATCCGGACCTAAATTTTCTTTAAAGAAGCTGCGGTGTTCCCAAATATTTTAGCCTTTAATAAGCAGCAATTAAAGCAGGTTTTTTTGTAGGCGGAAATTCAGTCAACATTGAAAAAAAAAAAATTTTTTTTTTTTTTGACAATAGTTTGGATAATATATTATTCGAATTTAATAGACTATTCATAAACTATTGAGAGACTTACAGTAATATTTATAATAAATAAAAACTTCTCACACTTTCAATAAAATACGAGTTTTTCCCAGTAAAAAAAGAATTTATTTATATTGTTTAGATTATTTATATCTGAAAAAAAAAAAAAAAAAAAAAAAAGCTATTAAAAGTGTTTCACTACGTAATTATTAAAATTTTGGGCAATATTTTTCTTTGATATTTATTTAGTAACAAGTTATTAATAAAAAAAGATGTTTTACTAAAAAAAAAAAAGGAAAAGCAAAAAAAAAATATTTTTTATATATTTAATATATTTATTCCGCGGATAATCTTAAATTTCGAATTATTTAATGGGCACAGAAAAATCAAGATATTTTTACCACATAAAGTAAATAAAAATATAAATAAGAAATTTAAGCAATCCATGTGTCGGAAATTTTTTTATGTATAACATTATTAACATAATATATTGTTAATTTACATTTTTTATATTTGTATTTAAAATAAGCTTTATGCCTTGCAGATTTGTTTTAAGAGAACAGTTATTCATCATATGATGATTTTTTTTTTTATTTATTTTCCGCGGAAAATGAATTTGTTAAATGTCGCACGAACCGCCACAAATAACTTTTTTAATTCTATTAATAAATCTGCATTTTATTAAATATACATGAAATTGGCCATGTGATTTAGAAAATAAAAGGTTAATACGCGGAGATTTCTTTAACAATCTGTGATAGAAGTCCGTGATCCGTAATTCAATTTTTTTTTTTTTTGTTTGTTAAATAACCATACTACATCAACTACGCCAACGATAATCGTGTCAATGCGCTATTTGATGATTTTTCACTTATTTTGGCCATTTTTCATAAGTTAATCTTTCTTCTTTTAAAAAAAAAAAAAAAAAAAAAAAAAAAAAAAAAAATTTTTTTTTTTTTTCGCTTTTTACCGATTTCTTTCTTTCAAAAAAATTTTTTAAGAGGTGTCAATGTTTATAAATCTTTAATGCATTCACACTTGACATTTCACACTCTTTTGCTAATTTACAATTAAAACATGCATATTTTTTTGAACAGCCATAAACAACAATTGAAAAGCCCCAAGCAAATTATGGTAAATCAACCTTTTTTTTGGAACCATGAGAATTTCACAAGCATGATCGATCGCTTTATAATTACGGCTTCATCTTTTATTACGGCATTGGCCAGAATTAGAAAATACAATGTGAGTCATTAACTCATTATTATATGATAATCCAAGCATATGATCTCAATAATCCATTTTTTTTTTTTAAACGTATAAAAACCCTCATTTTTTTTTTTCTTTGTCCATATTTTAACGAATAGGACGAATGAATGTTTTGGTTACTTGTTTCACATAATAGTAATATATTTTAATTAATTGCTTTAAAAAGTGTATTTACTAAACTTTAAAAGATGAAACGAGGAATGAATAATAAATTATTATTTGAGGTGAATAGATGAATTACATGTGCGTTTTTTTAAAGTCAGTAAGTCAATTACCAAATGTTTATATTTTTATTTTTCAATATTAAATATTCCATTTTATGAAAAGATAGATATGGGATGATATAATAATTATTATATTTTATTTTTTAATATAAATAAAAACAATAAAAATAATTTATTCTTAAATGTCTTTTACATCTTGTTCCGCTTTATCTAACCAATTTTTAAATAATTCATTATCAATATCAATATCAATATCATTATTATCATCATCATCATCATTATTATTACTATTATTTAATTTTCTTTTTTCTATTAAATGATCTCTAACCATCTTCAATCTTTCAATAGCAGTTCTTTGATGTTTTAAAGTAATATTTTCATCTTGATCATTTTTATTATTATTTAATTCATTCTTTGCTTCAATAATTAATTTCTTTAAAAATTTTGGAATACCATAAACATCATCCGTATATGTAGTTTTTAATAAATATTTTTCAATATCTTCATTTTCTAAAAATTCTTCTAGAATGAATTTAGAATCTTCTTTTCCATTTAATGTTGTTTGATTAAATTCTTCATTATAAACTTGATTTGTATAATCATTTGAATTTAAGAATCCTATAATTTCATTTCCATCTTCAAAATTTTCATTTATTAGATTGGTTTTATGAGGATAATGATGATGAAAGGGATACATATGTGATTTAGCTGAAGGACATGGTTCAATTTTATCCATGTATTGAACATTATGATTTAAAATCCATTGTTCCCAATCTTTATTTATATTATAATTTTCTTCATTATTATAATTAACATTACGAAATCTATTCTCATTTCCTTCTTGTGAAATTTTATTATTCAATTCTTGTAAAAAAAATGTACTTGTTGATGTTGTTGAACTTTGTTGTGGTTTTTGTTCATTAATTTGTTGTAATAATGTGGTTACATTACTTCCGCTTGAAGGAATTAACGTTTCGCGAATTAATTCGTTTGCAGAATTACTTATTGCCGAAATGAATTTTGCTTTTCCCTTATCTGTTGAGTTATTTGCATCTGAACTATTTGATTTATTATTATTCTCTTGATTAGACATGATTTTTTTTTCCTTTTTTATATATACTAAAGAAGGAAAATGTGTGGCTTTTTATAAAAAAAAAAAAAGAAGATTGTAATACATTGTTCTATAATAGCCAATAACGTTCAATTATGTACAATCGAATCATACGATATCTATAATCCGCAGTAAAAATTACATCACTTAATTATCAACCATGAGTCTTAAAATCATTTTGTTTTCATTTTGTCCATCCCTTAATTCTTCTTCACAGACTATCTCCGTTACCCCAAATTTATTAAGTAATGTAATGGCAGTTTGAAGTCGATGTAAGTGATTTTGTTCCGGTGGAAATTCCTACAATAAAAAAAAATAAAAAGAAAAAAAAAAAGTATAAATATTACATATATATCTTAAATTAATTAAATCTCTAAAAATATAACTTTTTGAAATATATACCAAACCAAGTTTATTAATATATATTTCTTGATTATCAGAATCAAGTAATATTTCAACTATACGCGCGACTGTACTACCGAGATTGTCGATCGGAAATAAAAATTTACATAATTTTTTCATATTTACTACACAATTAACCCTTAATCCTTGATATTTAGATATATCTTGTAGAATCTTCATAATATTATAAAAAATTTAGTAATTTACGTTATTTGTTAAAATTAAATAATTATCCTTACCTTGAAATGATCAATGTTTAATGATTTTAAATAAAAACCACATAAAGCTTCGAATTCGTTGATGTCGTCATCTATTCAAGTTATTAAAGGATGCGTTAAAAAAAATCTAGATGAAAAAAAGTTTAATTCTCATTTATCTTACCTTGCGCATAAAATTTCGTTTCAATTTGTTTTAAAGCACGTTTAAAAAATTCAGGTTGGTTTTGGTATTTTTTCTTTTTTATTCCTTTAAAAAATAATAATAATAAAATGATCTGTATAAATAATTAAAAAAAAAATCAATATAAACTATTATTGTAATTCACCTTCTCCGGAAATATTATCAAATTCATATTGAGTTTCATTCAGTGCCCTCTGCTTATCGTTCAAAAAAATAGTTTTTACATAAATCAGATTATCTAAATCTTTAATTTGTTCTTCCATCTTTTCTAATATAATTCCCGTATTCTTAAACGATAATATAAATTAATGAGTTCATTGTTTTTACGAAGTTTGTTATGTAAACACGTTATACAAACCTTTTTACTTGGTGATTTCTTTGGTGACTTGATCGCAGAAGGTTTCCGTTCGGCCATAACCTTTTGTTTCTGAAGTTTAAGTTCTTCTTCCTGTATAAATATATAAAATATATAATTTTTGCATAATATTTTTATTAGATTTTCAATGATCATATAGATTTTCCGCTAGTCTATGACTACCCGCAATCTATAATACACTCAAATTACGCGTTTATTATATGCTTTTGATCTGTTTATTCAAATTTTTTTGGCTAATACTGGTCGAAGTTTAATTTTTTTCGTTGATTATTTTGTATAATTACGCGCGCGCATAAACTGCAGTTAGAATGATTAGAATGAAAAAAAAAATCATTCATTACTTTTTGTTCATATTCTTTCTCTAAAGCTTCAACATCTTTTTCCATTCTTTTCATCTTTTTTTTTAATTCCGTCAATTCCTTTTTTGTATTTATTGTTTTTTGTTGCTTTTTTCGATTAACTTGAGACAAATGATTTCCATTTTCCTTGAATTCTAATTGAGATGATTTTTTCATTTCTGCATCTAACTCCATCTCACGTTTATCCACCTTTAAAAAAATTTCGATCATCATTAAAAAAATAAATTATAAATTTTAATCATACGTATAGAAAAATATATGTATCTATATATATATATAACCTCCTCTTGAAGCTCATTCTCTCTTATTATTAATTCTTGTAACATTTCTTCTGCTTTTGATAAAAGAACATTGATGCGAGGTTCGATTTGAACCGCCAATGAACTTTGAGTATCACGTATCTCTGGTTCAGTGACTAGTTCATATACCTATTTCATTATGCCAAAAGTTTGAAAATTAGTTATAATTATAAAAAAAAAATAAATATGATTTTGACTAACCCTTTGACAATCAAGTAATTTTTTTATCCTTGAAAAGTCGCGCGAATTACTTTTTAAATTAAATAGAGTATTCTGAAGCTATAAATTTTAAATTAATAAACTTTTTTTTTAAACCAAATTTTATATAGTTGTAATGAAGTACCTTTGAAGAACTGTCTTGAAGGCGGTAAACACATTGTTCAAGACTTTGGATATAAGTCCTTGGCACTTGAGATGTATCGATAAAACGTATATCATTCATTTCATTCATTCTTGGACTCATTGTTAAGTATTCAACCAGTGTTCAGCAGTTCAACAGTTATTAGATGAATAATAATATAATAAATCACGTGCTTTATATCGCGTTTTACGTCATTCCGTGTTTTCACACTGATTAAAAGTGTTATGCGTAAACCTGTTTATACAGAAAAACGGATCGCAAAATATATGAAAAATATGGAACTTAAAAATATAGAACTAAGACCGAGAATCGTAGATGCTCTAAGATATGGTAGGTAAAAAAACGAAAGTGACATATTATTCATTTATTTTTTACGCGTTTTCACTTTATTTTATTTATAGCAAACTTTGAAACTGTATCAGATGTGATATATCATAACGAAACAGAACTTTCAAAGATTTTAAACCTATCTTCAAAGGATATAAAAGAACTTGTAAAATGTATAGCACAAGAGATAATAAAACCATGTCCATTAATATATCCACTTACAAACGCTCTAAAAATGCTTAATTCGGGAGAACAATGTATGTTAACTACGGGTGATGACATAATTGATAAAATCCTCGGCGGGGGAATTATGTCACGTGGAATTACAGAAATTGTAGGCGAGAGGTATTATTAATCTAATTTATATTATAGGAAATAAATCATAATTTGGTAAAAATTATTTATTTTTTTATTATCGTTATTTATGTAGTGCTGCTGGTAAAACACAATTATGTTTACAACTTTGTTTAACAGTCCAATTGAAAAAAGAATTAGGTGGACTTGAAGGAGGTTTGTTATTCTTTTTGCTTTTTTTCCTTCGATGAAGAGATTTCAAACATTAAAAATCTAAATTGATACAGGAGCGGTATATATAAGCACCGAAGGAAATATTCAGATGCTAATAAAACGAACGCGGCAAATGACACACGCGATGAAACAACGATATGATGATCACCTTAAAGATGTGGATTTATTGGATAATATTAAATACATTACTGTTCCTGACCTGGACACACAATATCAAGTCTTACATTTACAGTTACCAATATTACTTTCTCGGAGTAAGATCCGGTTGGTGATAATTGATTCTATTGCAGCCAACTTTAGGGTTGCATATAATTCATCTAACGGCTCAACATTACTTCAACGATCTAAAGAACTTTGTAGATTAGGAACTAAACTCAAAGAAATAAGTGATCACTTCCAATTACCTATAGTTTGTGTCAATCAAGTTTCTGATTTATTCTCTAAAAATGATATTAGAGAGTATATTGGAAATAAAGATGACAATTTTTGGGAATATGATTATTATCAGAAACAATTTTTAGCTGGAAAAGGTTCAAAAATCCCAGCATTAGGCTTGGTGTGGTCAAATACAATTAATTCAAGGATTATGCTATCCAGGGCCGATAGAACATTAGTAGGCAATGAAGATAATAATCAAAGGACAATCACATTAATGATGGCTCCTTATGCACCTAGACGTTGGGGTGAATTTTATATTGATTTCGAAGGAATACATGGAAAGACTAACGAACAATTGTATTATTAAAAAATAAGTAGAAATTTAATAACAAAAATAAAAATAAATTATAAATATATACATGTTTTTATTTATTAAAAAATTCAATTTATCTATATAAGAGTTATTTTTTTTCTGGATCTGGTGACTTTGGGAGGAGATTCTCAACTTTGAAGGAATCAGGTCTATCATCGTGACCAGGTCCTAGAATATAGTTTAATTAGCTAAAATTATTAAAGAAATGAAATTAATATTAAATTCCTTACCTGTTTGTTCCCAAGGAGAAGCGGACCCTTCAAAGTTTCTGAATGCTTGCGTTAATTCTAAAGGTTCAATAACAACTCGTTTCCTTTCTTCATCATAACGAACTTCAACATAACCAGTCAAAGGAAAGTCTTTTCTTAAGGGATAACCTTCAAATCCATAATCTGTTAAGATCCTCCTTAAGTCAGGATGATCCGTGAAATAAACTCCATACATATCATAGACTTCTCTTTCGAACCAATTCGCTCCATTAAAAAGAGGAGTAACCGAAGGGACAGGTGTAACTTCATCGGCATATGTTTTCACCCGAATTCTTGCATTATAACGTATACTTAACATGTTGTAAACGACCTCAAAACGATTTTGACGTGTTGGATAATCAACACCGCAAATGTCCATGACCTGTTTAAACTGCGCACCTGTATGATCACGTAAGAATGTCATTACAGGGATAATAGCACTAGGAGCAACATAAAGTGTTAATTCATCCTTATAAACTGAATATTGTTGTATATATTTTGGAAGCATGGACAAAATATGTTTTCCATATTCATGAAGTGATTCATTGCTGTTTGGTTTTGTTGCATTAGAATTAGTATCAGCTGTCCAGACAAAGTAAAGTAAATTTAATTAAGAATCAATTTCTGAAAGAACAATCATTAGTGTAAAATAAATTCACCTTGTTTAAAAACTGGACTAGAGTGATAATGGAATCTTGAGGTTGATGAATAAATTTTACAAAAATTCGGTTGAAGACCTATTATAAAAACCAATTAATTTAAAAAGCATCGATAAATGTTATTTCTGAAACTTTCGTACCTATAAATTTTGGTGTACGTTGTAGGCCAATGAGTCGACGAAAAACGGACGAGGTTAATGAGGCCATTATTAAAAAAAAAACCGTTAAAAAAATAAAAAAGTAGTTTAATCACGTGAAGGTAAATCTGATAAATTTTTTTTATTGTAGTACAGTTAGTGATCGTCTTTTTTTTCTTTTTTTTCAGCTTTCAACGATGCGCGAAGAAACAAAGGTTTGTTAAAAATATTATAAAGCATGTGCATAATTTTGTCTTTAAACTAACTAATACCTTATTAGGAAAAAATACTTAAAGCTATAGAAATTACCAAAACTATTGTTCATTGGGGATTTATTCCATTTATACTCTATCTCGGTAGGTAGAATTTTTTTTTTTTTAACAAATTTAGGACCACCATTTTAATGTGCCTTAAATTGTAGGTTTTAGTCGAAGCGAACCAAAACCCTCCTTGATTAGGTAAGTTTTTTCATAAAAAATCAACATAATCCTTGTATTTAATTTGAATAAATTTTTTTTAAATTTAAATGTAGGATGATTAGTCCTCTTGCCTAAAGAACAATATTCAATGAACACGCGTAATAAATATATTATTTTTTATTAATTGTTTTAAAATATCATTATGTTTGCTTTTTATTAAAAATTCATTTATAAAGAAGTAGCGGAAGAAAATCCACTTATAGGATTAGATAATTTCATTGAATTCGCAGAATTTGTAACTAAATTATCGGTAGTAGTGTTCAATATCGAGTCTTGAGGTGTATTTTTTGAGAAAGAATTACTACCATTATTAGAGTTACTTGAATTTGAATTTGAAGGAGACATTCCAACAAAACCTCTTCTGTCTCTTTTTCTCATAAATAATTTCCAATTATTTTTTAATTTACCTAAAATTCTGTCCATATCTCTTTGATTATCATCATCAGATAAAACTGATGATAGAATATAAGACATTTGTAGCATACGAGTTGCTGTATCTGTTACTGGGATACCAGAATCAAAGTCATGAAATAATTTATCAAATGCATCTAAAAAATATTCAAGAAAAAGTCATTAACGAGTTGGATATTATAAAAAAAAATTATTAAGCCAATGAATACCTTCTATACGATTACCCATGGGTAAAATAACATGATCACGGAAACTCTTTAATACTAAACGTCTAATACTTAATTGATTTTGTTGTGTAGTAGAATTATATATTTGTAACGGAAGAAAAACTCCTTCGAAATAAGGAATTACGGTACCAAAATAAAAAGACCATAATTCAACTAATCGTGATACCAATTTTTCATCTGGAACTCCAACTAATTTTCCGTTCAATGTAAACATTCCTGACTCTAAAAGTTCATTTATACCATCATAGAGTAATTGTATCGACCTATCATTTATGCATCGTCTATTATATAAATAAGATTTAATACATTACTTAACATTTTAAATGTGTTTATCATCAAAAGATTGTTTTGCTTACCTTACTAACTCGTTCAAATCCTCAATACTTAATTTTAACCCTTCACCGTTAAATAATGGTAAGACTTTTACCGCCAACGAACCCCAAGTATCATGCTGTTGTCCTGATTGTTCCATTTTCTCCAATTCTTTCGAAGTCACTGAAGAAGTATCATACAGCTGATTCATTTTATGATGTGAAATTGATGATGATGATGGTGTATACGGTATTGATCCGCCGGAAAGTGATTTCTCATGAAAAGTAGTAGAAGATAATGAATACATCGTAGAAGTTGAATGCGATCTTTCCATTTGTGGACTTAATGTTGAATTTGTCATCGAAGAGGATGATGTATTACGACTAGAAAATGATGTTGCCCTCGTTGTACGATAAATTTGAGGAATAAAGGGTAGATTTTGGTTTTGATTCTGTTGTTGAGGAGGATTATTCCATACTCCATCTGTAGAAGTAGGTGTATTGGATGTTCCTGTTTCCGTTGTCGTTCTTTCCGTTCTTTCCGAAGTAACTGAATTAGGTCCTACATAAGTTGAAGCTGAAGAAGAATACGATGGTAAACTTGTACTAATAGGTGCACGAAGATGCGAGAATGATGATGCTGATGATGTAGTTGATGTACTTAAAGAATTAATTGTTGAACGTGGCGATTCGTTAATTTCATTTATCGGATTTAAACTCATGATTTTTTTAATAAAAGAAAAGTTCCATACCATACCATGACGCCATTTATATTGATTTGTTTGGTCGACATTGTGCATGCATATTCATTTAACTTTAAAAAATGCCAGATACCAGGTATCTAATCCCAAAATTGATTCTTTCACTTAATGTGACGCGGTAATCGTTAAAAGAAAAAAAAAAATTTTTTTTTCAAGCAATTTATTAATATGATTTTGGGAAGAATTTGTGCTTGGATCATTTCGACTATTAATTGGCTGTTTAGGCCAAACAGTCGCCGCTTACTAAGAAATGTACCGGAAGCTAAGGAAGTGTCTTCGTCTAGGTAGTATTTTAGTTCGTATATTTCAAAAATAAAATAAACTTCTATTATTTATCATATTTCTTTTAACAGAGTAACAATGACAGAAATAGTTTTGCCCTCACACGCTGATACTCGCGGTTTTGTTTTTGGTGGGGTTGTTTTAGAATGGATAGATCTTGCGGCAGGAACATCCGCAAAAAAACATGCCGTCTATCCATGTGTAAAGTGTAGTGTTTAACAACAAATTTCCATCAAATCGCGTCATTTATTATTATATTTGAATTAATTAATGTATCCCGTTTCATTATATAGGTTTCGAGGAGTGTTGACGCTGTTCATTTTATGCATCCTATTAGAGTTGGCGATTTTCTTATAATACAGGCTAGTGTAAATAGAGCTTGGAATACTTCGATGGAGGTTAGCTGATTAATATAATAATTTTGCATTTTATGGTTATATTATCGCGATCTACCATTTTTATTATTGTTGTTGTTGTCGTCACCTAGGTTGGTGTACGTGTTGAAACCGAAAATGCTATTACAGGAAAGCGAAGATATTGCTGTCATGGTAATATTCTTATTTAATCGATTAGTTTTGGTAACATTTCATTAATTACTTTAAATTATGTATCAGCATATTTGACGTTTGTTGCTCTAAGCCCGGGTAATGACAAACGTGCTGGAAGTCCAAGATATAATACTACCACCGCAAAAGTACCCCGTATTATTTCAGTAACACCGATTGAGCAGCAACGTTATGACAATGCCGAAACCAGAAGGCAGGTAAAGATCAGTTAAAATTTTGTCTAATTATTAACTAATACGAGATACATATTGATTCGTTCGATTTTTTTTTTGCAGGCTCGTGTAACTAAATTAAAACATACAGATGATAAAGGCCACCGTGAACAACATAAACTAGAAGCATTAAGAGAACTTATGCGCGAATGGTCAGAGCATCGCAATACAGAAACAAAGAGTACTGCAGAGTTACCGCCCCTTTTACAAGAACCTGAAACGTATAATGAACAAAATGAAGAAGGTGGTACTGACGCTAATGATCCTGCAAAATTATATTTAACTCGACGGAGGTCCACATTAAAAGGTGTTTTTCCTGCGCAGCCTGAATCCAAATATATTTCTGAAAGTTTTGCAGAAATTGTAGAAACGGTTTTACCTCAACATGCAAATACATTACAGGTAACGAAATAAAAACTTTTTTGAACCGTTTTTACTTAGTTTGTTTTGATATATTTGTTTTTAAATGAAAGATTACTTTTGGCGGTCAAATTATGAAATGGATGGAACATTGTTGTTTTGTTAGTGCATCAAGACACTCAAGACGGTTCCTATTATTGGCAAGGTTTGATTGGACTCCTTAACTAACAAATTTTAAAATTAAGTGATCTAATTAAAAAATTTTTTTTATCTCAATTATTATAGTATAGATTCTCTTCAGTTTTTTAGACCTACATATGTTGGAGATTGTACGAAATATGAACTAACATTACTAAAGTGTTTTCCTTGATTGGTTGCATTATATTTACATATATTATCATTTCTCAATAGGCATAACCATTCGATCAATTATTTCTCGTTCATTTCATTCAAGTATGGAGGCATATGTATCCGTGGAAGCTGGTAAGTTATATGATATATTTAATAATTTTTCAGTTAGCAGACTTAATAAATTTTTCCCTTAATTTTTTTTATCATTAGTAAACTTAATGACGGGAGAAAGATTCTTTACCAATGATGGTTTTTATACCATGGGTTAGTATTTGTTAACAGTACCCTTCATTACAATTACATGCAAGTCTTTTTTTTTAATTATTGTAATTCATTTGTATTTCGAATTCAGTTGCTGTTGATTTTGCCAATGCCCCAACACCTGTTTCAAATCTCATTCCAGACCGGGAAGAAGAACATGAAATATATAAAGGTGCTGAAGTCAGGAGAACTCTAAGGCTTCAACAACGAAGAGAATTAGTTCAAAAAGAAATGGCTACTCATCCTGAAGAATTTGAAAAGACTCAAGACACTAACTTTGATAGTATTTCTGAGCAAAAAAACTATAATATAGTATCAACTTCCTAGTAGTTCATATTGTTCCTGTTAATATATAAAACTATTTTCTTGTTATTCTGTAAATTTTTTTTTGTAATCAAATATATCACTTTTAAATATAAATTTTTACTAATTTACTACTTTCTAAATAATACAATTGATATTTAAATGTTTTTTGACGAAAATTTATTGGATATATTCAAGCAAAAGTACTTGTTTTTACGTTAAAATTTTTGTATAAATATTATTATATATTTATTAATCTTTCTAAGAAATTTTCAAAAAATAAATAGTAAATATATGGCTTATAATTAAAATTTAGATAATTTAGATAGAAAATTCATTTGCAAAAATAATATCAATGTCTTTATATAATAATTTTTTGCATTATATCAGTACGTATAAGATTTATAATAACATTTTTTATAATTAATAAAAGCAATATATACCAGGGATACAGTAAGGGTGTACGATTTTAATGTACGAACTGGCCGAAGTTAACGTTAACGTTATCACAACCTCAATAAGCTAATATGAGGGATTCTCATATGACTCAGCGTAGATTATATGTTAATTCCGGCCAGAAATTGCGTATTACAGGGGCAGTTTGATGAAATTTATTCACATTTTGCTATGCGTTATTTGTATCCCAAAAAAGCACCAAACTTGTCAATTCAAAGTGGCTATTTTACTACCTATTTTTAGACTGGTAGTACAAAGTCACGTTACCGAAATTTTATTTTCGAATTGCTTATTTTCGGTGAAATATGGTAGATAATAATCCCTAATTGTCACGCAAATTATTTATCACTTACTATCACCTGGATGAAGTTTTACTATAAATTTCTGGCGTCGTCTGCCTACATAGCCATTCTACCAAAAATCGAGTATATATTATAATTATTACTTTTAAAGAGAAACATTTGAATTTTTGTAAGCCGTAAAAATGACTACAGCTGCTAGACCGACATTTGATCCTGCTAGGGGTTACGATAGTAAAGCTCCGACGTTACAGTATAGCTCTCGGGATCTTGCAGCACACACAAAACTTAAATATAGGTAAATAATACTTACCTTACCTTGCGGAATAGTTGTTTCATACTGTCTCTTACTGATCGCTTACCTTCTATAAAGACAAACAGGACAACTCACAAAAGAAGAACTTGAAAAAATAGATCTTAAAGAAGAACTCTTAAAAGCAGAAAGAGAACACTTTGAGACAAATCAAAAAGGAATTTCTTATGATAATTCTGTCACTGAAGAACAATTAGCAGAAAAACGTCGAAGGTTATTAATAGAAGCCGCCGATAAGGATGACAGCGACGACGATGATACTGAAGAGGATAGCGACAGGTATGATAAATTGGTAATTTTAATTAATTTTATGGTATCCAACGGAGCTCAAATAATATTCATTTTGTTCAGTGAAGATTTAGATGAAGAAGATGATGCGCTAGCTTTACAGCATGAATTGGAGAAAATTAGAAAGGAACGTGCAGAAGAAAAGGAACGACAGGTTATTTTCTGATCCTATCTGAATTGTTAGGAATTGGTTTTTTAACTTTATTCACCTGGATTTTTTAATTTCAAAGGAACTCGAAAATTTGGAGGAAGACGAAAGAAAAAAACAAGAAGAAGCTCTAACTGGAAATCCCCTTCTTAATAAAGATTTCAGTGTTAAGCGAAGGTAGTTTAATTCTTTTAAAAAATCTAAGTATGTAGTAAATCCTTACATTAATCCTTTTTTTTAGGTGGGATGACGATGTAATTTTCAAAAATCAAGCACGTGGCGTCGATGATAAACCAAAAAAACGGTTTATTAATGATACTTTGCGCAGTGATTTCCACCGTAAATTTATGAACAAATACGTGAAATAAAGCCGAGTTCTTTTTTAATAACCTATTTAATAGAAAATTTATTATATTATTTTTTACTCACTTTATTAAGATGTATTATTAAAAGTAAATTTACGTAATTGATAAAAATTTATAAATGTTAATTTTTTAATTTTTTTGTGCGAATCTGGTAATAAAGGATTATTAACCATATATATATTGCTAAACTTTACTCAAAAATTAACATAATTACTATTTTGAAATTTGGTTATTTTAAAACCTTTTTAATCTAGTAATTGTCAGTTTTTCCGAAAATCGATTATCCCAAAACTTCACTAGGGTGTGTTTAAATACACTTACGGAATAGGTTTTATCACAAAGAAATTTTTTTTTTTTTTTTCATACCACCAACTTCCGGGCTCACCCAACTCAAATTCTTTCGTTATTGAAATTTTAACCAACTTAAACGTATATAGTATTGAGGTGTATACTCCTCAGAGGAAAAGATGAGTGGTGTTGGATATATTGGGTCTAAGATCAGCCTCATATCAAAGTCTGACATTCGTTATGTGGGCATATTGCATAGCATCAATTCAGCCGATTCAACCGTAGCTCTTGAACAAGGTTTGTTTTTTTGTATATTGGAGTTTTCTTTACTTGGAAATCCTTTTAAGTTTCTATATAGTTTTTTTTACGTTCTTTATAATAAAAGAGTAAAAACACAAAAGTTCCTTTACATCTTGATTTTTTCTTGTCTTGGACAAAAGTTAGTTTGTAAAATTCGAGAGTGGTTCTTTATTTAAGTTCTTAGAAAATTTAATGGCTGAGTGAGTTTTCCAAGCCATAATATTTTCTTGTTTTAACACAATGAAAGGGATTTCAAAAAAAATTTTTGTGTAAAACATTATCGATTAACCATTGTCATTTGTCGATGATTTTCTTTTTCCGTTTGATTAGTTCGTTCTTATGGAACGGAGGGCCGCCGAGGAAGTCCTGCAGAGGAAATTCCTCCTTCTGACAATATTTTTGAATATATAGTGTTTCGTGGTTCAGATGTAAAAGATTTGCACGTCTGTGAAGCTCCTGCTCAACAACAGTCGTTACCTCCTCAAGTTCCTAATGATCCTGCTATTCTTGGGGTGAGAATTAATTTCAATATTAATATTTATCGAATTTAGGTTATTTGACATATCTTATTCGATGTATCCTTAAGCCGTTGTTTTTTTGAAGATATGATGAAAACTTTGGATGAAATTGAAATTCTGAATGCAAAATTTACTGATGCTAATAATTTATGTTGCCTTCCTACTGATTCTTCAAATGTATAGCAAGTTGACTAAAAAATAAAATAACACGTACTCCCTAAAACAAAATCTCAAAATTTATTTTCATCAAATTTTTAATATTTAGACTACCGCTCCTCGACCACCTAGTTTTCAGAGTTATGCTCCTCCACCACCGATGGGAGTACAACCACCTAATTTCGCTGTGAGCCCGTTTTATATTCAACAAGTAGCTGCTGCTGCTTCATTTCAGCAACAGCCGCAATATTGGCAACAACCACATCCTCAATCACAGGTAAATTTTTTTTTTTTATTTAATGCATGTACAATAAATGAAACTTACACTTGATGAAAAATTCTTGTGAATCTAAGTAATCTTTTGTTGTCATTATTTTTATTTTTTATCAACTTTATAATCCGTAATAATTTGTTTAAAATTCACGTTTGAATTTAACCTTCCCATTCCCCTTTGGAACGGATAGCTAAATAATAACATTTCAGAATCCGCTGCCAAAGAAGCTGAACAATCAAAGCAATTACAGGTCTGCAGTTTTGGCAGCAAAATTTACTCAATGATTAACACAGCTCCTATATAGGTCCATGTTTCACACCAATACCTAACTCCTTGAATACAGAAAGAACATTCAGCACCTGACAAGATTGAAGAACCTAGACCGGAAAAGCAATCTTCAGTCAAAAACTTCGCCAAGACGGGTACGAGTTCACGGTCTACCGTTACGACTAATAATAGAAATAATGATGCTACAGCGGAAATACCGTCAACGTCCGCCGTCGAAAACTTGGCCAAAAAAGTTAGTGAAATTAATTTAACGACAACAAAAGAAACTAATGTTGAAAAACAAGGTTTATATAGTTTTTTTTTTGGTGATTGTTTATAATTCTTATTTACTAACTTAATTTATTTGTAGCAACTGTAAACAATCATGCTCGTCCTTCTGCTCCAAGTAATAATAGACTTCCTGGTATGGGCGGACATCTTTTGCAACAAAATCGTAGAGGTGGTCGTGGCAGTCGGCGAAGTTACAACCAGAATTATGATCGAAACAGGATTCCTGTTCCTCAATCTGATTTCGATTTTGAATCTTCGAATGCCAAGTTCAATAAAGAAGAGATTGTCAAGGAAGTTGTTAAAAAAATTCATCCAAATGATCAAAAAGAAGAAGAACCTGTAGATGGACATGAAGAAGAGGAAGAAGAAGATATTTTGATACCACCTGCTGAAAGTTATTATGATAGGAACAAATCATTTTTTGATAATATTTCTTGCGAAACTAAAGAACGTTTAGAACAACAAGGTCCTGATGGCCGGTAAGTTTTTGTAAATCAATTCATTTTTTCAATAGTATATGGTATCTTTTTTAACTCTTCCCGATAAATATCAGTCGCAGTTTATCTGTTGCTGAAAGACGACAAAAGCAATCAGAAGAAAGACGTCTGAATCTTGAAACTTTTGGACAAGTATCAATTGATGGTGGAAGATATCGTGGAAGTTATCGTGGTCGCGGCTATAGAGGAAGTAGAGGAGGATACCGTGGAAGTCGTGGCAGTGGAAGTGGCGGTTATAGAGGAGGATATTCTAACAATTTTCGAGGGAATAATTATAGGGTAAGTATGCAATTAATTGTTTTTTTAGAGATTTTTGATCATTTCAAGTACTTATTCTCTTATTTTCTTCAGCAACAATTGCAACAACAACAATCATGAATAAAAAGAATTATAATTTTTAAAGGCGTATTTTTTTTGTATTTGTCTAGTTTTTTATTCTTATTTTCTTATATATCCTTATTGGTGAATCATCAGTTTGGTTTTGTCGTCGCTCATATCACCACTATTTTCACTTTACCACCTACCTGGTATTTTTTTAATATCTAATTCGAGATTTGTATAAAAGAAATTGAGGAGAAGCTAATATATAATAAAAAAAAAAAGAATGAGAAAGTAGAAGAGGAAAGAAAAAAAAACGGAATAATGGGAATAAAAAGGGAAGGGAAAAATAAGTTAAAAAAAATAATAGGTGCATTTTTTATATACAAAAGTGAGTTTTAAATTTGATATGTATTTGTAGTCTTATTAAAACTGGTGAATGATTTTTAGTAGGAAAATAATGCTCTTTTATTATTTCTTTACATATATATATTTTTTAATACAAGGTTAAATTTGTATAAAGTTAGTTATAAACACTAAATTTGGTCTAAGTTAAATTTATAAAACTGGCTAGTATTAAATCAAATTTTACATAATTTATATAATTATATTAATAACAATATATTATAAAATTTTATTCAAATATAAGCATTAGCAGTAATTAACTTATCCTAAAATATATAACCAGTTAAATCCTACAAATATAATAATTTAATTATAATTAAATTTCTTATCTGTTATTTTAAATTTTACTTCTACTGTTAGTCTGTTATATATTATTTTATTATATTTATTAAATAAATTAAATATTAAATTAAACATTATTATACAATTTATAAAATTAATAATTGCATTTTTGTAATATAAAAAAATAATAGATTTATTTATAAAATAAATATTGTAATATAATAATTAACTGTATATTTACAAATGGATTTTGTTTTTTATCACATTTGCAATATATTACACTTCCATATAAAAGTCAAACTAGCATTCTAAACTCTTTTTAATATACTAAGTAAAATTGTAAAACAGGCCAAAAAATATATATATTATATAATTTTTAAAGTGGTATAATAGGTATATACATAAAAAATGTAAAAAAAAATTAATAAAAAATAAAGAATTAGAAAATTTAGCAAGAATTAGTATATTTATTATATAAAAATTGCCAAAAAAGGTGAAGCAATATATTACATATATGAAAAAATAATAAATTCTTTACAAATAATATAAAAAAATTAAAAATTAACAATATAATTTAATAGAATAATATTATATATATTTTTCTATTTCTTTTTTTTATAGATTATTTTTCTTTTCTTCTCTAAATATATTTTTTTTTATTTTCACAGCACATTTATGTTCTAATATTACAAAGATTATAAATATATGAATATTATTCACAACTATCTAACATTATTAGAATACAAATTACTTGTAATACTAATATAAAATATCTTATTATGTTGTAATATTAGAATCAAGTTATATGATAATCATATAATAGAATAAATATTTAACTAAAGAATAATTAAAAGCTGATTGAAGAATAAATTATTAACCAAATATAAAATGAATAAATTATTAATTAATAGATAAATTATGATAGTATAACAAAATTAAAAGAATTATTTATAATTACAAATAATAATTAATTAATTATAATCAACTATAATAATTTATAATTAGTCATAGAAACAATTAAAATAGATAGAAAGATTATTATATTATCATTAATAATTATTAGTAAAAAGAAATTTTTAGAAGTTTTTGAAATCTTTTAAAACTTTAATTATATAGTAGTTTAATCATTAATTACAAGTTTCAAAATATTTTTAAATAGTAGTTTAATTAATAAAACTTTAAAATATATAAAAAGATAGAAATTCAATAGTTATCATTTTAAGAATGTATATAAATAAAAATTATTATTAAATAAAAATATATTTTTATTTAGTTTTTTACTTCAAGTCACCGGGAGTGATCATTACCGTTGGCCAGAATTATCAATTTTTACCAGCACTATATTTTTTTAATGCTAGTCGATCATCATAATTTCAGTTACCGGTAATCATTACCCCCGGTGATAGTTAGAAAAATTCTTTTATTTAAAGCTAAATAATATTTAAAATATTACCTAATAGTATATATATTGTTACTCATGTTTACCACCTGAAGTATCAATACAACTTTATTATTATGCTTAATTGCCGATCCGTCTAAGAACGGCACTATCGTATATGTAAAAAAGGGGTTAAATTTAACGAATTTGTGATAAATGCGAAAATTCTAGAAAGGAAATCTCATAAATTACGCACTAGCTTTAAATGAAAGTCACATGATATATAAAAAAAAACCTGAAAATTAAGAAAATGAAAAAAAAAATTATATATTCATATGTAAAAAAAAAAGTTTACTATGTACGCGCGCCAGATTTCCACTTCAAAAATAATGAAATTTCGTATTTTACTATATTTTATTATATAATTTACATATAATTTACATACAAGAAATATATAAATATTAGTTTTGAGATAACTTTTCAGTCTCTTCTATCGAACTATGCTCTGCAGCTTCCATTGCTTGAAGTGCCATTGCATGTTTCCAACCTCGTGAAAATGAAGTTATCCAGTTGGCAATAGTAGATTCCTTTGGCACCTCATTCTCATCTATTTCCCCTTCCTGTACTCGTTGCAACAGTTCACTTCGCATTTCTGCAGCTGTCATTTTTTTTCTTGGATTAGCAGTACCTGCATGAAACATTATTTCAAGAAGATTCTTGACGTATATAGGTATTCGTTTTACCGGTTCTCTAGTTTTTTGATTTTGTTATAACGCCCAACCAGAAATAAAAATCTCCCAACTAAATCGAAAATACTTATTAGTAACTTTATTATATAAAGAGGTAGTGATGGCAATCAGTGACTAAGAATGTGATGATGACAACTGTAATGACGATGATAAAAGTGAAAATAAAAATGAAGGGAGAAAATAAGAGTGAGTACCTTTTGCGTTCCAGATCTATTTCTGTTTCATTTATGGAATCAACATCTGTAATTTTCTGCATTATGTATATAGTTAGTATATTTATGATTTTTATTTATCAATCAGAGTTATCTTATAACTAACTTACTAATTCATTCATTTGATTTTCTAAACTTTCAATAGTATCAGTATCTAAAGTAAAAATAAATCAATTAGACCACCTAATTCAAAATTAATTTTATTGGAAAATTATACCTTGATGATCGATCTTTGGTATATTCCAAGATTTTTGTGGGTTTGAATGTTCTGAAATAATGGGATCTGGCTTGACAATTATTCGATTTTTAACAATTTTTTGGATTTTATTGGGTGAAAATTTGTTTAACTCGCCAAATTTTGGTAAAGGTCGTGCATAAATATATCCAGCTTCTTCACCATCATATACCCAGGTAAATTCATTCCAATTTCGGATTCCTGTAATAGTTCCTATTTTTTGTTTTTCTTTTATAAATTCAAAAATAAATGTTATTTTATTTTTAAAATTACAATATAATAAAATAAAATTTACCTTGTTCTCAATTACGTTGAAGATTTGCTACATGAGTACCAAATAGACCTTTAATCGCCATTTCAATATCTTCACCAGAAGCAATTTCATAACCAAGTTTAACATAACGCTTGATTGCATGTGTAATCTTAGTAAATGAATAATTCTTAGTTGTATACCAATTTCAGACTGGAAATCAAAAATAATAACCAAAAATATCCTTACTTGTGCATGGTGAGAATCTATGGTGGATTTTGCCTCACCAGCCTCTAGAAAAATCCATTTATTAATATATACATCATACCACTCTTTCCAATGGGATAGTATTATCATCAATTCTGTATTATGATAGTGTCCCCCATTGTCAGATATAATAGTTATATATTTAGGTTTTTTTTCAAGTGTTTCTAATACTCCATGTAATGATGATGCCGTAAACCAAGCATCTTGCTTGGTATCTCCACTCCAGTGATCGTAAGCGTTAATATTGAGATTATCAGTATTTTGTTCTTTAGTGTATAGTAAAACAGTATGCAAAGTCCATCCACGCTTTCCAAACCACTCATCCTTTGTTTCTCTTGCTTTTTTAGGATTAATTCGCATCTTATAATCCACAATCATCAAAGCTTCATCATCATCAAGCTGGGAGAGAATAGCAGGCAATTGTGCATTTAGGTAAATTTTACGAGCATGATGTGACATAAATGCAATCAATTGTTTTTGGTAGCCATCAAGATTTTCATGTTGATCTAACGGCAAATGTTTTTTTAAATTTTCGAAAAAAATAAATAGATTCTTACAATTAATACAAGTATTGGAATGTATTTCTTCACAATCACCAAAAGCATGTCGTAAGCAATGCGACAAACAAGAATTATGAACTGCAATTCCATTTTGTGATACATTCAATTGCTTCGGATAATCTCTTCTAAGATAGCATCGTAAATTTTGAGCAACTCCAATCAATTCATTCTATTATAAAGAAATATGAGATGGATTCAATATTATTGATTATTAAAATTATCAAGAACTTACCCGAAGTAATAGGTTTGTAATATTGATATTTACTAGTTCTTCAATATTTGCAAATACTTGATATCCACATTCATTACATTCTGAACAAAGTCCACCCAAATTTTCCTTATATACGAAGCGTTTACCATTCAACTGTGTCATAAAAGATGTTCTCTTCATCCCATTTGGATATTTTTCATGAAATTGATTCCATAAGGCTTGCTTGTGATCTTGTAAATAAAGTACAGGTAGACCACTTTTATTATCAGTTTTATAAGAACTCATATTTACATGTTCTTTTGTAGAAAAGAATAATTCAAACTGTTTCAATTGTTCAGGGACAAATTTTGTTCGATGAAAAGTTGGTTTATTTAGTACAGGTGCTCCATAACCATTTGTTCGTGTATATTTACGTGATTCTAAAATGGTATGTCGTCCAACCTTTTAAAATAGTAAGTTGATGAGTTTTTTGGTATTGCTAATAATGTTAGAGATTACATTGAAATTACTTACACCCAAATTTTCTTGTAATTCATCATAGGTAAAATCATCTGCAATAATTGAAAGTATTCTGCGCTTCCCATCAAAATTTTTTTTATTATCTTTTAATGTATGATTGAAGCATTGCCAAAAGGTCTGAGTCGAATTTTCAACAAGAATTCCCATTTGATATAATTGAGTAAGTAATGCATAATCTTGCTTTGGACAGCTGGATTTTGACCAAAATTGATACTAACAAAGAAATTTGTAATTAGTTTTTTTTATAGAATTATTTGCAAGTAATATTTTCTATATTAAAATACCTGACTTGTCTCATGTGTCCAAGGGGTTACATCATGAGCGCCAGCAGCACGAAGAAAAGTTTTCCATGCTCCCAGTTCACGCGAACTAAATTGATAGTCTACAGGGTATATTTCTTGCAATTCGTTATTTAGTTCAATTAGAGGACTTTCTTGCTTTTTCCATTTTACAAATAATTGATGCCAATTAATATTTGCAATTGTTCGTCATCTTAGATGAAAATTAAAAAGTGATTTCATATTAGAATAATTATCCCATTCTTGAGGTGAACATGTTGGCACTTTCTGTTTTTGATTTAGAGATTGAATCATATGGTTGTCAATACCAAAAAGTTGATTGCTATTGAATTTTTTTATTAAATCTGAATTTTTCCATACATCAATTGGACTCTCACCTTCAATTATACGTTTGCATTTTTGATTTTGATGAATTTCAAGAATACATTTAGTTTCTTCAATTTTGGAAATAAATAATGCCATCGTATTTCCACGATACTTATTATAAAGAAGTGAAGATTTATATCCCGGTCCAGCGTAAAACCAATCAGTTCGTGATGAATATCCTACTCCATACACAAAAATTTTAATTTGTTCAAGTGAAATTAAACGAGGGACGAAAAAAACATCTTTACATAGTTCTTTTATTATATTTTCATCATTCCATCCCATTATTTGTACGCCAGAATAACGTGTTTTTGTTTCAAAGATCTTAAAATAAACTTCGGAAATTGCATTAGTTGGGTCATTGGCAATTTCTACAATATTTTCACTTTGACACAAGTATCCTGGTAAAAAATTGTTGTTCTCTTTATTGCCAGCAACTATTGTTACAATAAATTCATGCTCATTAAGTATTATTTTGCTTTTTTGCTGCACGCGAATAGGTAAATAAACCGTTTCGTTAGAATCTTTATTAAGATCGGATAAAAAGTGCCACCAATAGCGGGAATATGGACCATAATGAAGCGCTTCAACAAGTTCTCCAGGTGAAATAAGAGAAACATCAGCTTGGCGGTGTTTTTTCATTATGTAATGGGCGGGAATTTACTACACGCGTGAGATGTAAAAAACGCTTTTTTTTATTATCGTTATTATTCCCGAATTTTATTAGTAACGCAGTGCCAATTTTAGACAGATCGGCAATTAATTTAGATTTATATAAAATTATATAAATATTTAGCTAATATATATCAATCACTATATATATAATAAAATTTAAAGGCTAATTTTTTTTATTATAATAGTTATATTAAAAATTATGATACTATATAATTATTAATATTAATATATAATTTATATATATAGATTAAAATCAGCTAAAATAAATTTTATTGGTTAAAATTGATGATTTTTGAATTTATAATTCTGGCTAAATATTTCTAATTTTAGCTAATTTTATAATGTTAATTTAAATTTGATAAAAATTAAAAAATGCAAATTAAATGTAATATTATATTACTATTATATTTATATAAAATAATTTTTAAACTAAATATAAGAAATAATACTTTTTAATGATATCAAAAAATGTATTGAAAAATTTTTGTTATTTAAAGTAGATTTTAACTAGAAATTGATATATTTTTTTTATTAAAAATAAAGAATAATAAAAAAATTTGAAATTTATCAAATATAATAAATAATTTAAAATTTTAAATTAAAACTAGAAACTAGAAAGTATTTTATATAATTTTATAATAAAAAAACTTAAAAAATAATAACTTAGTAAATTTTCAAATAAATCCAAAATCTATAAAAAAAAAATTTTTTTTTTTTTATTTTATTTATATAATAATATTACAAATTTTTTATTATTTCAATAATTTTACTTATAAAACAAACTATTTTAGAACAATTTAAATATTAAAAAAAAATAAACAAAAATGGATTTACTAAAAAAAATGAAAATTTTGTAGTTTTTTTTTTAATTTAAAAATTTTATCATTATTTCATATTAAAAAATGGAAAAATTTGATAAATTTAATAATAAACAAAAATCTAATTAGGTGACTGATTTTATTAATTTAATAAAAGCTGTTTTTTAAAAAAATTACACTTAAAAATAAAAATATTTATTATTAATTAAAGGATTTTCATTAAAATTTTATTGAAATAAAAATTCTTTTTTTTATTAAAAAATCAATTTTTTGTATTTATATAAAATTTACCTGAATAATTATTATTAAATCTTTAGAAATTTTTTTTTTCTCTTGCAAAATTACATATATTTTTATTATTAAAATTATATATTTATCTAAACTTTTAAAAGAATTTTAAAAAAGTTTATTTTTTGGATATTGCTAAATATCACCAGTGGTGATCGTCACTACATGTAAAATATTTCAAAAATTTTTGACCGAGATATTCTTCTAATTAAAATATAAATATTATTACTATATGTAAATTTATGAGTAGAACAAGTTTCCTTTAGATTATAAAGGCTATTGTTTAGATAGTTTTTGAGAAAAACAGGAAAGTTTGATTTAATAAGTAAAATACAATTTTTGTTTTAAAAAAGATTTTTTTTAGTCAAATTTTCAAAATTTTAGTGTGATTAATATCTACTCAGGTTTGTTTTATACATTTATTATTTAAATTGAAATTTTTGAAAAAAAATTTATGGTGTGCTTTTTAACTCTGGCTAAAATTATAATTTTCAGCCAGAATTAAGTGATGTGGTGACGATCATCACTAGTGATATTTAGCAATACCCTTATTTTTTAATGTAAATTTATTATATATGAAAAGAAAAAATAATTTTAAAGATTAGTAAAGTATATAAAATCCTATCAAATTATTTAAAATAAAGTAACTTAAATATAATTATATACATTTTTTTAATATGAAAATAATTTTTATATTATATATATGGTAATTGATATATTTATCATTATCAAAATTGATTAGCTATTCTAAAATTAAGTCCAAAATAAAAATCATCTTTTAAATCTATTATATATATTATTGTAAACTAGTAATCTGTGAAATATATTTAAAAATACATTTAATTTTAAATGGGTAATTTTTCAAAATAGTTTAGATAGTTCTCTTTTAAAATAAATATATATATTTTAATAGAAAATAATAATAGGTACAAATAAACAATAATATTGGAATCAACTACATTTCTCATTTGCTAATCGCTTAGCCATTTTTTCAGTAGAAATGGCTGATAGAAAAGTTTTAACTTTTTTTTACTCAAGTAATGGTAAAATACTTTTGACTTTATTTATAAACTTCCTGAAAATTCTTTTAAAATTTAAATAGACCTTTATCTTCTAATTTTAGTGAAATTACTTAATCTGAAGTGATTTTTACAAAAGATAATTTTACTTTTGCAAAATTTTTTTTCTATAAAGTTTCTAAAAGTTGTAATTATTATATATTAGATAGCTAAGCTTTAAATTCTACAACTAATATAAAGTTTTTCCATTAATTTTTTTATTTTTAAAAGTATTATAAAAGTCTTTCTATAAAGTACAAGTTGAAGTAGAGTTGATCATTTAGAAAGCATCTTTTCATATGGGCTGATTTGTCTACCTTTAATTAAAATATTAATTTTATTACATTTTTATTATACAAAATACTATATAATATACAGTAAATTGGAAATGAGTATTAAAAAATTTTTATTTAATGTTATTATACTATAATTTGGTAAATATTTCTTTTAAATTAATATAATTCTTAGCACTTACTATATATATTAAAAATTTGTATCTTAACTTAAAACGTAAATATCTCCAGGTCCAGTAATCCAATTGGCAAGCTCTTTTTTCGTTCATATAGACCAGATCAAAGGCTTTCCAAAGAGCCTAAATTTATAAAAAATGGATCAGTGGATCCCAAGATATTTGCATTTAAGCATGTTAAAACGTTTGTACCTCAACTTTAAACGTAAATAACTCCAGATCTAATAATTCAATCGGCGAGCACTTTTTTCGCCTATAAAATTCAGAACAAGGGCTTTCCAACGAGTCTAAAATTATAGAAAACGGATCAGTGAATCTTGATATATTTGCGTTTAAAGATAGTAATAAAAACTCTGACATAAAATAATTATTTTTATTGTTTGAAAATATTTATTATGATACCATCTTTTATATGATATTTTTATTATACTTTTATAAACATTTATAGCTACTAAGGCTATATAAATTTTTATTTTACTTTACTTACTTTTTAATAATATATGTTAAAAATTCCATATATATGAGAAATGGGTTTTTTATTAGTGAAATGGGGTTTTTTCACAGCTCTTTTACATTTAATAATTTAAGTTTCGCAAATGTAAATTTTTGTTCAACTTATTATTTAGTCAAGTGATCATCAATCAGATGATTTTTTGGTATTATAAAACAATTTTGAGTAACAAAAATTATGAAAATCAATCAATAACTCTTTTTAATGCAGAGTAGACAAATCAGCCCATATGTTCTTTATTATTAGTTAACATTTGAGAAGTTGTAGTTATACTTATCAGCGAAATTAAATTTTTGAATTATGACAGACGTAATTAAAATGCCGTAATTTGCCATAATTATATGTTTTATTAGTAAACATTTGTACTGACGTAATTGTTTTTGGCTATGCTGTAATATTTTGACATTGACTTTTTAATTCTACTGAAAAGTATAGTTGTAGTAGTAAATAAAGAGAACCCTGCCTACTATTAAGATATGTTACTGGTAGAAATTTCACTTTCATATGAAACTTTACCTTAGGATTTGCTTAAATTCTATTGGTTAATTGACTAAAAAGGAAAAAATCATAACAATGTAACATAAAATTTCCTTTTATAGTAGGACCTTTAAAGAGTTTTATATGTAAACCTTACCTTATACCACAGGGTAACCTATCTTAATAGTAGGCGGGATCCTAAATAAAGGCTTAAAGTTTATTATCTTCTTTATTCAATTTTTCCCTTTTGAATTTTCTAAGAGTTATGACTTTTCTTTTTATTTTTCAGTTTTTTTTTTCCTAAAATTTTAGTATTTTTTACTCTTAGTTTTCTTTTAAAAGAGCTGGAATACTGGAATATTAATCATCTGAACTGGAAATTTGATATTATTTAATATTTTTGGATTTATGTAAATTGACTACTAAAGAGAATTGATAGAATTGGTGAATTTAGTTTTTAATTTAAATTAATCAGCAAAGGGATTATTAAAATTAAAAATATTAGATTACTTAGAAGTATAATTGGTTAGATCTGATTATACATAAAACTGAAATTGGTTAATTTTGACCTCTGAAATGGTCAAAATGGTCAAAATGATTTCAACTTGAGCCCCTCCAAAAGTCGAAATGGTCAAAATTACATCATAGTCATATGATTTTATAGTAAACAATAATATTAAAATTCAAAGTTAACGAACTTCGCATCCAGTAATTCGATTTTTATGATCTTTACACGGTTAAATTCAGCTCATCGAGAGGATTCCAATGATATGTATTTCATATTTGTAGCATCAATATTGACGGAGTTATTCACATTTAAAATTTGGTATTAAATAGTCTTATAATTTTTATAGTAAATAATAATTTTAAAATTCAAAGTTAATGATCTCTGCATCCAGTGATTCGATATTTATGATCTTTATGCAGTTGGATTCAGCTCATCGAGAGGATCCCAATCATATGTATTTCATATCTGTAGCATCAATATTAATGGAGTTATTCACGTTTAAAATTTTATATTAAATTATAATTATAAAAATCACATGACTATGATGTAATTTCGACCATTTTGACTTTAATTTTGACTTTTGACCTTTCCAAGTCAAAATATTTTTACTTTTGGGCTTTAATTTCAACTTCATATATAGATCTAATATATCTATTTGGAATCAGATGAATACTATAGCTACTGATTATATGGGGTCTTTGCAATAAAAAGGTACGAAACTCAAAAAATATTAAAAATTAAATTAATTCGTAATTCATCTCTGAACCAGTGAAAACTACTAATAAATTTCAGAGAACTGGTTTTACAAATTAATTATTCTTTAAATGGCTTTTGAGCT